ATTTGATTATTTGATTTTCATTTCACTCACATTGTGTGTGAGACATGAAGAAGCCATTAAAAAGTGGGGCATATTCTATGCATGACCAGAGATGTCCCTCTTTCATGTTTTATGAACGTAATCTCTTCATGTATGATGCATGATGACAAATTGCACTCATATCAAGTGTCATGATTTCTGACAGCTGTGTCCATCTGCTCCGTTTCTAACTGAGACTGACAGTCATGAAGCAACATGAGCGTGCGGGCAGGGTCCTGTGAGGCAAGGACATTATAAGTTAACCATCCAGCATGTGTGAGTGTGCCTGGCAAACTGCATATGCATGTGTCAGCTGCAGTCTCAGTATGTGGCATAGCTCATCATCTGCAGGCCCATGTGGAGGACAGCTGTTTGCCTGCTCTGCTCCAGCTCTGTCACATCCACTAGGAGGCCTTCCCCTTTTAGACAATTAATCTACCACTTACTGTACACGGTAATTGCCATCCCGTGTTGAAATGAGCCGGGGGACAGGGATCTTTGACGATCTTGGCAGCGCGGCTGCCCCCACTATGCCCTGCCGTGTATTCTCAACAGATTCAGGCCTATTAATACTGAACTTCTGGGACTGAGCCGAGCAGGGGGCTAAATTGTAACAGCCTGTCTGTCTGGATTCTTATTAAACTTTTGATCCAGACATCACCAATGAAATGAGGCCCTTATATTAGGAGAAACGGCATGACATTGGTATAAAGGTAATAGGAAAGCCCTCCAGACAGCATAATTTACCACACAATTTCCAACGCTAAATGTATTTCCTCTCTTTATTCCTCAGGGCTGTGGTGCCATGCAATTTCCCCATCTGCTGGTCTCAAAGGGGCATTGCAGCGTGAAGAGTAAATATGTCAGCCTCCTCTATCGATTGTTCTCGGCTTGAGGGACAAAGTGTAACAACAGCTTGAAAAGAATGAGCCTTGAAGTCTTGTGTGCAGCACATGACATGTGTTGAGAAATGGACACTAGAGTGACATCAGAGTGGGTGACGGTGTGAGGTCATGATGCGTGTGGCCGTGGTGCCAGGCTGGAGACAGGGAGAGGCGGAGACTGTTAGACAAAAGTTATGTTGACGTTGTAAGGTTAACCAGACAAGAGGAGGCTGCTGGTGAATAGATGTTATCTCTGATGAAAAAATAGAATTTTACTCTCTGAAATGGAAAAACCAGCTTGTTTGGCTCAGGAGTTGACAGCATGTGATCCTGACCCTGTCATATTGACCTCAATGTTATTGAGTTGATTATTTAATACACAGAGTTTGTAGCCGCTATAATCACTATTTTTATTATTACAATAGATCACATAAATGGTCTTCAGTCTGCAGTTCCTTGTAGCTATATAGAGCATTTTAGCACCTTTCAGCTTAATGTTTTGGTTTTACGGCCCACAACCATGTGTTTTGTTTCACTCTCATTATCTCAGCAACATTTCCAGTTACACCAGCTAGGGGCTTTCTAAGAAGAAGCACTCATAAACCCTCTGTCGTACATTCCCAACACCACAGCCAAAGTTAGAGACTAGCTAGTGAACACGATGGAGCATTTAGCTGCTAAAGAGCCAGATGTTTCCAATGAAAGCTGGTAGAAACCATATGAAGACTAAAATAAATTTGAATTTGGGAAATGAATGGAAACCCTCCAAATCAATGCTGCTGTTGCTGCCATGCATAAAGATGGAGGACATGACTGCTCCTCAAAAGTGAAGCCAAAGTGTCTCCGTCGCTACCTGGTGGCTGGCTGCAGAATAGATCACAAACCCTGCCTACACACATTTTCTGACATTTTTATCACACTGATTTATGTTCAAGTGTGAATATCTCCCCTGAGTTTTTATTAATCAGTTATTTGTGACTCAGACTGGCTCATGATTGGTCAAGTTTCGCTACTGCGCACACTCTGGCTCAAAGTGTGCCCGATGGCAGTGTTCATATCTGGGATTTTTTAACTTCCTTTCTGGATAGAGGCAGGAAGTGGAGACAAATCATCCATCTTTCTATACAGTCTATGGTTGCTTCACTTATGCTGGATGTGTGTAAATAAGATACTGATTGCTCACATTCAGTGTATAAACATCCTAAAGTGGGAATATGTCAGATGTTGTGTTTACAGCTTGTTCCACTGCCTCCAAGTGACCAAATCTGTGTATGTATGCATGTTAATGCTATACATATATTATCCATATTATTAGTGAAAGCTGCCACTGAGCTAAATGTTTGGATCAGACTTAAGGATCAGATCAGGCTGCTTATTGTATATCGCTGAGATTGTACATCTCGCAGACAGTTAATTCCCACTTTCCCCTGGGACGCCGTCTCTGAGCGTAGACTCCCACAGATTGATTCTCACTGAGGTCGTTGCCTCTCCCTACATCTTCACCTCACCAAACCCCCAGCGTAGAGCGTGGAAATCAACTGGGATTATTAGTTGCCTGCAGGCATTCCACATATGTGTGTATGTGTGTGTGTGTGTGTGTGTGTGTG